GTCTATGTTTGTATAATGAGCTTGTAATCCCTTGTAATTCTGAGCAGACTCTGGGAAACAAGAGCCTTTATGGTTCTGGTTGGGTAGGACCAGGTCGTCTAGCTGCTGTAGCTCCTCCTCTGTGAGAATAATGGATGTTGTGTTGAAGATGGGCCCCTATATGCAGTGGGGGCTGCCAAGGATCTTAGGAAATAAGGCACTGACTGCAGCTGAGGCTCTATAAGCATGGAAATAGTGTGAGCCATCACCAGGAAAATTTCAGCCTGATAGCAAAAAGCAGCTGAAGTTCAGAAAGTGGGCAGGACTGAGTGGGTGTAGAAAGTATATGAACTATGTCCATACTCATATAAGAGCACTATATCTCTCATCATTTCAATTGCCATTCCCCAGGGTTTCTCTAATTCTCTTCTGCAGCTGTGATACAGTGCACTGCATTTAAACTAATAATATTTATAAAATTTTTGTTGCTTCCTTTATCATCAAAGGTTTCTGATACTGACGTAAAGATTTTCTTGTGAGTCTTCACAGTCTGAAAAAAAAGATACATGAATATACTTTGAGCCATGAAATCCTGAAAATAGTTTTCATTTGGCCAGAATTACCCAAACTTCTCTTAACTGAATTTTCCAGAATAGGGAGATACGGAATTTCTAAGACTAAAATAAAACAGCCTAGATTATTCTGTCCATGAAGGAAAGAAATACTAAGAGGTATCAAAAACCCAGTCATACTTAATGAAGATGGAAAAAGGAGTATCAAAGGGATTTCTTCCTCCTTTCTTTTTCTTTCCTTCCTTCCTTCCTTCCTTCCTTCCATCCTTCCTTTCTCTCTCTCTCTCTCTCTCTCTCTCTCTCTCTCTCTCTCTCTCTCTCTCATCTACATCTATCTCTCTATCTCAAGCTCTATCTCTGCCCCCCACTACTTCGTTTTTTTCTTCCTTTCTTTCAATGTAGCAAGACTATACTCAACTATAGGAGAATGTCTTTGAAATGCACAGAATGCAGCTCCAGAAACATTTTTATCAACCCATTATTTTTTCTAAAGTATTTATTTAGTATCCTATACATCTTGGCATGATGGTAGATCCTGGGGCTAAAAAGATAAATAATAGTTTCTCCCCTCAAACTCATGGAAACAAAAAATAAGTAAAAACCAAAACACAGGTAAGGAAACTTGTTTCTATACCAGAGAACAGTATTACTATAACACCTTGGCCAGGAGCTGCAATTCCAACAGCTTATTCAGTCACATCCCCATAAGCAAGATGGATGGTAAGTGGATCACAGTCAGAAGACATTAAGAAAGTTGCCAAAAATATGAACTCAGCCTTGGGCTCAAAGCTAAGCTTCTTTGCACTTTATAATTGTGTCATTTTATCCATGAAAGACAACATAATCATGATAGAGAACATGATAGACAAAACTGAAGTAGCAGTATTTTACCAGTGCAGCTGGTGATTCTAACATCTCAAACATGCCTGAAAGGACTGGGGATTTGAGGAACAATTCTGGTGGCAAATAGGCCACCATTTGCATCTTGTGAGCAGAGACATTGTGTAACACAAAGAGGGAACAGACAGCAGAAACATCAACCAAAGTGCAAGGTCAGATGCTTCAAACATCTTCAAAGTACAGAATAGCAGCAACAGTTTAAAATGTAATCATTCAAATATTAACTATTTATATTATAGTAATCTTGTTCTGACAATAAGAAAATGTCCTAAAAGGCAGAGCTCTCCCCTAGCCAAGTAAGGAGTGAGGCAAGCACAAAGTCGGAGCAGGCTGTTGAGCTGAGACATCTGCTCACACACTGGACATCCAGTTTGGTCTTGCTAAGGGGACTATTTTCCATTCAAATGTGAGGCCAGTCTACCTTTAAATGTGGACACATATGAGCATCAATAAAACATGGGAGGCACAAGTAAAGTTCTACAGGTCAGATGAGAGACTATAAGAAACCCACTAATAATGCATGCGGATACATTCAGTTTTAAAATATTTCTTATGTGCAAAGTATCAGAAAATAGGTAATGTGAGCATTCTATATAGGACTGTGTTTACTATTTCTCCTCTTTATTCATCCAGTCTCAAAACGATATCAATTCAGATGTGTTGCTTCTCAATAAGTATGTAATAAGTAATAAGCACTTTAAAAAAAAATGGGGGCTGGCCAAGTGGCTCATTTGTTAAAAGTTGGCTTGGGAGTGCAAGCTCTGAGCAACAGGGCTGCCAGTTCGGGCCCCTCATCAGCAGTGATGCTAAGCCCTCTACAGCTAAGATGGTGAATAACAGCTTGACCTGGAGCTGAGCTGCTGTGAGTCACCAGCAGTGGAGTAGCCTGCAGTGGGGCTGCAGTGGGCCGCCATAAGCTACTGTGAGTGGGAGCCAGTGTGAGCGGCCCTCGCTGGCAGCCAGTGAGAGCTGCCATGAGCCGCCATGAGCAGCTGTCCAATGGCCGGTGATCAAGCTGCCTCAGCTGGAAAGAGAGCAATGATCGCAATACCAACATGGGCCAGTGAAGCGACATCTTTCACAACTAGGCTGAAGAACAAAAGAAGAGCAAATTGTCTGTTTCTCTTTCACGATTTCCCAACGCTGTTTCCTCCCTCCAGTTCCCCAATAAAGTCTTTAAAAAAAAACATGGGAGGCATAGATATATACCTAAGAACATAGAAAAATGTTTGAAATGAATCTGGAGATTTTAAAAATAATATACTTACTCTTTTTTTTAAATTAAAGTTTATTGGGGTGGCAATTGTTAGCAAAGTTACATAGATTTCAGGGGTACAATTCTGTAATACATCACCTATATATCACATTGTGTGTTCACCACCCAGAGTCAGTTCTCTTTCTATCACCATATATTTGATCCCCTTTACCTTCATCTACCACCCCCCTTCCCCCTAACCCTCTGGTAACCACAAAACTATTGTCTGTGTCTATGAGTTTTGTTTCTTAATTTGTTTTTCTTGTTCTTTTATTGTTTTCAGTTTTATATCTTGAGATTATAATACTAAGCAAAATAAGTCAGACAGAAAAAGTAGAGAACCATATTATTTCACTGATATGTGGTATACAAAATTAATAACATCTTTACTCTTTGTGATAGCAGAAAAAGTGCTTTGAGGAAGGGAACAGCCACCCTCAAATGAATTGTCATTATTCTCCTTACAACTGCCTTTCTCCCTTTTTTTCATTTATAATATGTAACCTCTCTTGAGATTCTGTCAGGGTTTACAGTGTATGGTACTTTGCACAATGATGAAGTGCAAGCAGATAGAGCAACACGTGACACTGGGAAATTCTAAATAGGTAATAAATTACTCTCTCTTGCAGAGCAATAACTTTGCCATTTATGGCTAGCACAGCATAATTTGGGTAGTTCCCACTTCTATGGTTTGCTCTCTGTCTCTTTCATATGGGTTTCATAATTGAAAGCTAGGAAGCCAAGGAGCACAGGGTTCCAGGAAATATAAATATTCATCAGGTCTGAAAGATTTTTGGGAATGAGGAATGGATTCAAATATAAGGAAAGGCTTGTGGTAGAGAGGACAAGTAGTTCTAGAGCACTCACCCATTTCAATAAAAAAAATGTTCTTTCCCCCTCTCTTTTATCTATTGAACCTCTCTATGGTATTTTATTTGAAGAGAAGATATAACTGTAAGAAAAGTCTTAGCTATGAGAAATCATTTAAAGTTCTTGGATATAATCCAGCATTTTTGGTGCACTAGAATGTGTTCTTCTTTTGCCCTAGGAAAATATTCATTAGAATTTTGTGACTTTATTAAAATGATGAGAATGCAATATTTAATTTAAAGATGAGGAAAAAGCTACCTGCTTTCAGGTGGTTCGGAATCAGGAGTAGGTGAGGAAAGAACAAACAATCTATTAGCAACCCACCCCTATCTGGATTCTACTATGACAAATATAGCACAATACGGCTTCCATACCTAAAAGAATATTTAACAAGAAGAACAACCTTAGACCTAATTGTTTGTAATCCTAAATGGCTCTGAACTTCACCACAATCTTTGAGAACCCACTAATAAGTCATCTGCAAGGATGCATCCAGTTTTAGAACTCTATGAGTTTCATAACTCACAGGTATACATACTGATGTAGTCTTGTCAATTTAATATTACATTTAAATATTATTTAATACAATAATATATGCACAATACACTTTAAGTATCAGCATTCATTTAAACATAATAGATGACAATGAGTTTTATGATATTCACTGAAACCACAGTAGAAGTCTTGTAGTGCCAAGAAATAAAAACTCAAAAATACTGTGACAATTTATTAGAAAAGTAGATTTAGTGATTTGTATCCAAAATTTTGGCTACTAGGTTCTAATCTTTCTAGCAAATAGACTTTGAGTCTTTCTGAAAGAAACACTTATCCTAGCACCACGGTCACAGACAATATTTATCTTCTACCTACTCTGACTATGCTAGCTCACACTCCCTTTCTGAGGGTATATTTGATTTATTTTACAATTGCATACATTTTTCATTTTTTTGTTGTGAAAAAACAAAAGGAATGTGATAGTCCCCTAAGCTCTAGTGTTGTGAAGCATTTTATGAAGAACTTTCCAAGTCACTCTTGGATTATTACTTATCTACCCTTTCTCTAGGACTCCAGGGCTCACTGAAATGTGTGACACTAGTTCTCATCTTGATAAGGAGTCATAAACCATTTATCATAAAGTAAGCTTTTGAAAAACTGATTAATATTGTTCATTCCTCTGAATAATGCTTATTAAAGTAACAACATAAATTCAATATAGTTTAAATGAATGTGGTGGAAAAACATGTCCAAATACAGTCTAATTGCTAAACATTGGCATGCGTTTGGAATGTTGCTACCTTCCCCACACTAGGAGATTTTTTTTTAAAGTTTGCTATTGCTCTAGAACATACAAAGAGGCTTAATAATGAAGAAAATAACTTTTTTATAGAGATATAGAGAAAGAATTTTTAAAATAATTTACTCACAGTGACATATTGAAAAGTAATGGTCTTACTTGAGTTTAGGTAGAGCAATATTCTCTTTTTATCAGAATTCACTTCTCTGGCAATCTCAACATTCTGGAGAATAGTCTAGATATAGAAAGCAAAAATAAAAAGCCTTATAAATATTCAAAAGAGAAGCAATACAATGTATACACTAAAACTTATTCACTTTATCCATAGTTAGACATGTATTCAATTTACATTTATATCACATACAATTTTACCACATTTCCTTCTTAATTTCTAGGAGTAACTCAAAACCTTGTGAATCATCAAGAAGATGAAATAAGATAATTATTCCCCAAATGGCTAATGTCACAAAATTAAGTTTTGCAGAACACATTTTATGGAGATTGGCTTTAAAAAAAGTACCAAAGGATATTTGATAATCTGCCCAAAATTGTATCTGGCAGTAGTTGGCATTGACATCTAAACAGCCAATACTGCAGCCTTAAGAATGACTCCAAATTACAAATATTGGTAATATTTAAAAGCCTATTTTGTGAGGAATTGCCTATTGATTTGATGCCAAGAAGTGATTACTATTTTTTTTTTAGCTGAGCCATCCTGCCACCTGTTGGCAGCTCAGCGGCTGCTCAGCTCGGGCCAGACTCGAACCACTGTTGCTCAGAGCTCAAACCTTAGAGCGAGCTCTTAACCAACTGAGCCACTCAGCCGGCCCTGTGATTACTATTTTTAATAAGACATAGATATTAACTCAGTTGCATAATGAGAGAGAGGAGGGGGTAGAAGGTTGACCTCTATAAATCAAGGCTTGAGCAACAGATCACTAATTCTAAAGGTTGGAATGATATTTCTGCCTCTGCCACTTAATTTTTAATGATCCCATTTAAATTGTTTGTCATCTCATGAACTGTAGTTTTGAAAATACTTTTATACTTTAATAAAGTAATAGTCAAGTGAGATGTTATAATTAGTAGAGCAATGGTTATCAAGAGAAGTTCCAGGAGCATACAGCTGGCTGCATAGGGGTTGACTGTATGGCTCATCAAAGACACATATCTGATTCAATAGGTACATTCTGACTCTGAATCTGATTCAGATTTCTACAGAGCTTATGAATATGGCATATTAATAAGCTTCCCAGAAAAACCTGAACCTTAGCCAAGTTGAGAATCCTAACCTATAATATAAACTTCTGGGCTGTGGTAGGAATAATTCAGAAATGTCTCCTAGATTCCTGACACCTGACAAACACTCTATGCTCTTTTATGATTGTGGGCTGAACTTGGTACTAAGATGTATTTCACTCATGTGATGAAGTTCCATTAAATGACAAAGGTGAAGGGATTCTGCTGCTGTAATCTCCCAAGTTAGTTAATTTTCAGTTAACCAATTTAAGGGAGATTCTTTTGGGTAGTCAGACTTGGTCAAGTGGGAACTCTCACAAATAGTAGGATATTAAAACTCGGACAGATCTCCTGCTGGTTTTGAAGAAGTAAGCTGTCTTGTTGGGAGAGGGCCACATGCTTAAGTCCTTTAGAAAGTGGCTGCCAGGAGCTCAGAGCAACCAGTTGGTGACACACAACATGAAAATGGAGAAATCAGTACTACAAATAAATATAACTGGATTCTGCCAATGACTTGAATTAAAAAGACTCTGATCTCTGTATGAGAACAGAGCCTGGTCAACACTGTGATTGCAATCCTGTGAGACCCTGCATGTGAATTAAGGTTGTTTTTAATATAAGTTTAAGAGTCAAGATTATGTATTAATTAAGAATAATATTAATTGCACTGTAATTATCAACATCGCATCTTAAGATATATAAATTTTAAGACTTATTTCACATATAAAATTTAATTTGTTTCTGTTATTTTTAATTGTTTTCTATGAACTAATAATTTAACCTAATTATGTTTATTTTTTTCTATAAATATATTCTATAGGTTGAAATAATAAGCATATATAAAAAGAAACAAATAAACAACAAAACACATTTGTGTTCCACAGGACCATGTTGAGGTATGAGAGTAGGAACATTCCTTACAGAATAATGTTTCTTCACTCAAGCTGGCCCACGCCTGGTTTGCATAGGTACAGAGGGGAACAGATATTAAAACTTGATCACACTATGAGTAAAACAAAGAAGCCAAATAAAAAGTAAAGCAATGTATAGCTCAAAGCAGAGTTTGCTACAGCAACTAAAGAGACACCTAAAGAAGATAGGTTGATTAATTTATCATGTAAGAAAATTCAAAGATTTTGCCAACCAGGATATATGAGGCCAAAAAGAAATCCCACAGCTTTCACTATGATGTCTTTCCTCAGGGTCTGAGTTCCCTGGCTGATCTGCCTTCCTATCTCTGCCTTTCTGGATCTTAGTAGGCATGTTTTACATATGGTGTTCAGGATTTTAAGTTGTACTTAAGTGGTATAAATAAGCAAAACTCATTGTATTCCATATTATTCATAAACATAAATTTAATTCCATTTTTTAATTTAGGAATTTAACAGAAAATTTTTAAATATAAAATTTCAGAGTCTACATGTGATTTAAAAAATATCTTGACTTTAGTTATTCAGTAAGCAATTTAATAAGATACATTATCTGTATGCTGTATTTTGAATTTTCATAAAATAAATTATTATTTACTGAAAATACTATAAGGAAAAGAGATTCAAGAAAAATATAGAAAAGTTAAAAACAGAAAATTAAGTAAATTAAATGTAAAGTATTTTGGAATACTATTCATCTATACAGAAATTTAAACCAATCATTGTGCCTTGCATATTATTTAATGAAGTAAAACGTTGTTGAAATACTACTGGGGCTTAAATCCAACGGTTTAGCA